GATCCCTTGACTTTTGGAGCCTTTGTTTATCCCAGTTTTTCGTTTCTCTCCAGGAAGACTCGAAGCAAATTCCTGTGGATCAATTGGGGCAGAAATTATTGGAGAAAAAAGGGGTGTCCTGGAATAAGAAATACAGAAAACAATATGGAGCGTTAAGAAAGGTATTCACATGGGTGGTAGTTTGGGTTTTCTGTTGAGATAACTTCATAATAATAATTTATATTCCTGTTGAAGAGTCACTTGGATAATAATTGAAAATATGGAGCTTTGGACTAGCAAGGAGAAGTTTGTAAGGTGAATTTTGGTTGGTTCCAGCATGTCCATGAAATGAATACTCCAGGAAAATCTTGTTTTCCTGTTGGTTACTGTGTTTTATAAAACTTGAAGGAAAATACTCCAGCATTTGTGTTGTAGCTATGTGGGAATTCCATGGTTTTTTTGAATGCAGCTACCTGCTCTACTCTAATTTCACAATAATTATGGAAATGTGGGTGTGAAATCTGGATGTGAGCCTTTTGCAGAGGGATAGAAACAATTTGTGAGCAACCCAGTGTTAAATAAACATTCCCAACTTGATGTGCTCTCGAAAATGTTGCCAAAGACAAGTGCTGGGTCTCTCCCAAAGCACCTTGATCAGTATTCTTGAAATAACTGTAAATTGTTTTAAGCTTTCGGAAATAGCAAAGGGATCTTTGATTAGAACTGAGGTTCAGGTTTAGGGGGGTTTTTCTCCTTCTTTTGTTGGGGGTCGTTTGATTTCTGTCTTTGGTTTTGTAGATTTGTGGAGGGGTTTGAGGGTGCTTGGTGTCACATAAAAGGTCAGGTGGTAAGAAAATCACGTGTTTTCTGTCTCCACTGAGGAAATAGCTGAGGAAGGGCCATGGAATGAAGGTGGAAGGGATGGGGTTTGTGGGGTTTGTGGGGTTTGTGGCTCAGCTTGATGATGGCCCGAGGGGAGCAGCTGCTGCATTTCAAACTCGGTGTCTTCATCCTGCCCTTGTTTCCTCTCAGTATTTGCAGCATCACCCTCAGATGTTCCAGCTGAGCCCTGATGCCAACAAGGTGGGCCTGAAGGAAGCCCACGAGCTCCTGGTGGAGCTGGATTCTCCAGGCCAAGCTTTGCAGAGCCCTCCTCAGAGCAATGGTGTCCCCTGGAACTCAGAGAAGAACCCCCCGAGGCCGAGGGCCACCTCTGCTGGTGGCCACTGGTTTGATCTCAACGATTCCAAAGTCCAGCCCATCAAGGAGAAGGATATTGAGAAACAATTCCAGGGTAAAGAGAGTGCCTACATGCTGTTTTACCGAAAATCCCAGTTGAAAAGACCTCCTGAAGGTACACAAAGCTCATCTTGATGTCCTGTGCCAGTTTTTCAAGCTGTTGGGCTTTTCTGTCCTTTCCAAGAACTGTAAGATCCAGTTTTCCTTGTAGTGATCCCTTGGAAAAAAAGGGTTAAATGAAATTAGTGGCCAGTTGGCTATAGCTGATACTAATTGTTTTTTAAATATGCTTCACAAATAATAGCAGAACACCCAAAACAAATACAAATTGTCGCTCATGGCATTTATATTAATTTCCCTTCAGGATTGATTGGGAGAATTAAATTATTTGTTTGTTCTTTGTATCCTCTTGCAGTTGAATTTTCTCTATTCTGAACATCATTGCTTTTTCAATGTAATGTTTCATCTTGGTTTTCTTGTTTGCCAAGCCACATTTGAAGCCAAACCAGCCTTTTATTCTTTGTGGCAGCACGAGGAAATCCGAGGTACCAAATTCCTGAGCACCTCCTGGATGAGATGAATGCTGCTAATACTGAGCTGCAGAAAAAGAGGTATATTGATGGCACTGTCCCAGGCTCAACCAGCTCTTCCCTGCAGGTCTCCAGAGGAATTTAAAGGGAAGAAACCCCTGGGTAGAGCCAGCTGTTGAAATGATTCAGTGTCATGGAGGTTAATTGAAGAATCTGTACACCCAGATTCTGCCTTCTGGTGATTCCCTGCCTCCCTTTTAGGGGCATAAACAGGCATCTGATGGAATTTCAGTGCTTACAGTTTAAAATTGCCCCGTTTTTTGGTGCAGATTGGTGCACTTTTGGAAGGAGAATGGAATTCCATCATCTTACCTGGGTTTAGAGAGGGAGTTCTCCTGTGAGAGAAGGGGGAATGACTTGTGTTGCTGTGAAAGGACAGCTACACTGGTATTCTTTGCCAGAAACAAGGGAAGAAT